TTACCCTTATTGTTAAGATGACAATTATCCGACTCATAATTGCTCAATCAACTCTTCGCGAATGAACAATCTTTAGAATGAACGTCACGAATAATTACCTTAGTGGTTAGTTGAAAGAAATTGTCTATATGAAGTCTCCACCTGGTTATCATTCTAAACAATCTCTAGTTCATCGCCTCAAAATGTCCTTATATGCATTTAAGCAGGCGCCTCATGCTTGATTTGAGCATCTTCACACTGTTCTTGTCGATATTGACTAACAACAGTGCACATGGTTCATTTCTCCTTTCTTCATTATCATGCTCACCGCATCGTCTTCTTCTTGTCTATGTTGATGACATTCTCAGTATTGGTGATGATACCAAGGGCATTTAGCAGCTTATACAATTACTTCAACGCTCCTCCCATATGAAGGATCCTTGTCTCATTACATATTTTTTTTTGGCTTGGAGATTTAAACCTCATCTAGGAGACACCTTGTAACCTAACATAAGTATATGCTAAATCTGATCAAATTGGCTCATCTTACGAACAGCAAGTAAGTCTTTACTCCTATGGAATTGAATGTTATATACTCTAAGGATGATGGAAAACTCTTAGCCTATCCTTCTTTGTATCGTCAACTTGTTAGAAGCCTTATCTATCTTACACTAACTTGTCTTGGCATTGCCCATGCTGTTAAAGTTGTCAGTCAGTTTGTATTTTCCCCGTGTCATCCTCATCTTTCAGTTGTTCAACGCATTATCCATTACCTCAAAGGGAGTATGGATTTTTTTCCCTCCTCTTCATCCACTTCTCTACTTTATGCCTACTCTGATGCTGATTGGGCATGATTTCCTGATTCCCATCACTCCACCAATGGGTGTTGGGTCTGATTGAAGGTTTCAAGGTGGGTAGAGATGGTCCTTGTATCTCTCATCTTCGGTATGCAAATGACAGTTTGATTTTTCTGGATGCTTCGGTTGAGTACGTTTTAAATTTGAGAGAAACTTTGACCAACTTTGAAGGTTTGAAAGTGAATCTCTCCAAGAGTGTGTTGATTGGAGTGGAGGAAGTTAAAATGGAGTGTGGAAGTATTATTTGAATGTGCTGAAGCTTTTGAATGTAGAATTGGAGTGCTCCCATTTACTCATATGGAATGTCGATTGTGGGAAGCTTCAAATTCAGGTGTTTTGTGGAAACCGATTTTGGAGAGGGTTGAAAGAAGGCGGGATGGCTGGAAAGCAAAATATCTTTCCTTGGGGGGTTTACCCACTTATTATATGTCCTTATTGAATCACAGGTGGCTGAAAGAGTCGAGAAGCTTCAGAGGGATTTTTATGGGAGGGTGTGGGTGATGTGGACGCCGGAAGCAGCAGCAGCAGTAATTTAGTGTTCTCAGCAGCAGCAATTTAGTGTTCTCATCCTATCTTATCTATTCAGTATTCTTGCCTTATCTGCTTTCAGTAGTAGGGATTAGTGGGAGTCTTATCTATTCAGTGTTCTTATCTTATCAGTTCAGTAGGATAGATTAAGGGAGTCTTATCTTATCTTATCTTATCAGTCCAGTAGGATAGATTAGTAGGAAGTCTTCCTAATTAGCAAGGAGTCTTCCTAAAAGTAGGACTCTTATCTCTTGTAATCTCCTATTTAAGGAGCTGAGAATATTGAATAAGATCATGGAAAATTTCAGTCAAGAAAGAGAGCAGAGGAGAGTTTGGTGATCTCTTGAACAAATCACCATTAAGGCACCAAGATAGGTCCCTCAAGAAAAGGGAGGAACAAGGGAAAACAGGAGGTTCTCCCCGTGGACCGACCCGTGACGAGATCCTACGCCCGGGCCCGTAACATTTTGGTATCAGAGCAAGAAGTCATGGGTGACTTTGAGCAATTGACGTCTAGGGTTCATGATCTGGAGCACAAACTCGTGGAAAACAGCAAGGGGGTCCGCGAGATCAAGGATGACGTCCGAGAATTAAGGCGCTTGATGGAGTTGTACTTTTCCAGCAAGGAAAGGAACCCGGAAGGGGCTGCAACCACAACCAGTCGCCGGCCAAACATGGCAGAATCGTCCGGCAAGCAACAGGTCGTTGCCCTAGCATAGGTTAGCAACACCCAGAATGTTCCGATTAAGCAGGAATCCGGTGTCGTCGAGGATTCCATTGACAAGAGTTCAAAGAAGAATAAGAGCAACTACTCCAAGGTCGTCATCGCTGGTGAAGGAGCTTGTATGCCTCATGTTGCGGCTGCAAATGTTGCAAAA